CGGTCAGTACAAAATGCAGACTGCAGACTGCAGATTGCAGACTGCAGACTGGGTATAAAATGCAGACTGGGTATAAAATGCAGACTGAGACCAAAATTGGGTATAAAATGCAGACTGACAGCAAAATTCTCGTTTCGTGCAATACGCGATATATTTTCATCGTTAACTCACCCCCCAGTCATGTAATCGCCTTTCCGAGTTCGTTTCCTTGCAATTTCCTCTCCATATGCATAGACTGTGGTCAGTCTATGTGAACAGTCCGTTTATTTGTTGCGCTGAAACATGACAACACGTTCGATCGTAGAGCCGCCATCTTGAATAATCCGAGCAAACCCGAACGATAGCGATTTCCTATTTGTCATTACCGCTGGCCCATGCATGTATCAAATATGGCGGCTGTAGCATGCGCAGCGTGTAATTTATGCAACCAAATGACATATCTCTGGCACCAGCAGCCGTTTTAGTTTATGAACTCGAAGGGAAACATGTTGTTCTTTCGATGAAAAAGCATCAATTTATGGACATATCTTATGAAGCTACCTCAGGCTGCTACTTCACTGTACTGTTGCAAGAGGCCATCATATAGTGAGTATTTTAAACTGCAGATGATGGGCATAGATATTACTGTAAGAAAATTCAACTTTATTTTAATTTGCCATTATTATTTTCTTTCTTCGTTCTAAATATTATTAATATTGTTTAGTAGACGTTTGTTAAGCGCCAATAAGGAAACTTTTAGCGGCTGCTAAACTCAGGAAGGCGATTGCGTGACACTGAGGTACGTTAAAAAAAACATTGCTCTCGCATAGTCTGCATTTTATACCTAATTTTGGTCTCAGTCTGCATTTTATACCTAGTCTGCATTTTATACCCAGTCTGCAGTCTGCAATCTGCAGTCTGCAGTCTGCATTTTGTACTGACCGCTTATCTAACTATTTTAGTTGACTAAAATAGGAGTTAAGTTCGGCACATGTGAAATTCGACGTTTGAACTGGGCCTAACCTGTCGAAAGCACGTCGTATATACCATTTTAGTAGAGTGTCTTCAATCTATATTTCGAAGGAAGGACTTGTAATGTTTAAAGTAATCGCCTAAATTACGTGAACGAAAGTACAATTTCGGTCGACCCAAACGGGTTAAATTCGACCGTTGATTCAAATGTCGAACATAATACGTCGAACCAAATTCTGAGCAACAAAAACAAATCTTTCGCTCGGCTAGACTTCAAATAAAGTCAGTGAATATAATTTCTAATTTACTTATTTAAGTTCGATTCACGAATTCGAACAGAACGACGTTTGAACCAGAGTCGATCTTCACACGCTCTACGTACAGTCTGAAGCAAGCGGACAGAACGCGTTGGTCCGGATCCAAAACTGAGTCAAACGTCAAGCTTAAAATTGCCTCGGTTTAGTTCCTCCGATGCGCGTTTCGACGTCTGAACTAAGACACGAAAACAATTTACGAATAAACAACTGAATGGAAGCGAAAGTTGCATGGTGTGTCGAACAGCTAGTACAGTTCAAGATTCAAGAACTGCTTCAAAGTACCTGGATCTTTGGTCACAGTCGCCAAACTAGTTGAGAAAAAATGGCCACCAACATTAGGTTTCAGCGTCGTCGAGAGATGAACATGCTCGAGCTTCTTAGCCATCTCGTCAAACGCATTCCTTTCCTTGCGAAGTTTGTTCGTCTCACGCTTCAGGATGTCGAAAGCTTCTTTGATGTGTTTATTCACTTCATCTAATGCTTCATCGTTGGGTAAATCTTTCTCCGAGTTACGCTTCGAAGACATAATAATTCAACTGGGTTACCGAAATCAAACTTTTTCCAAGAAGCCCGAATTATTACAAGACAATTCTCGGAATTTATCTGCTGGTGTTGATTTCTCGGAAATTTGGGTGTATCAGATTTCGTCTTGCATCAATTACCTCGTGTCACTCCATGTAAAGTAATTAAACATTGAAAAACAAATTAGCAAAAACTGTGATTCTTTATCGAGAGTAAGTATCGAGAGTAAATTCGGTTAGTATATTGATCTCTACATCGACCAGATGATTCACGTATCAAAAAAGTGATGGGACACGTTGTATCCAGTCATAGTAGTAGAGCGAAGCACATTGGATTTTATGTGCTCTTTCGCGATCACGAGACAAGGCAAAACTCATAACAAAGACATCGCTCTTTGATGCTCGCCGACTTTCATAACTAGTCCCCTTTACTAACTATGATCCAGTAGATCAACATTTTCGTAGGGCAGCCTGTTTTGGCAAGTCTCCAAGTCTCCCCTTAGATTCCCCTGCCCTCCTCATCCCCTTCCATTAGTGTAACTGTGCTCGCAATATTACCGTGGCCCAGAAGGGACAACGCTTCTACTTGAAAATGTAGTGTCGTTCTGTAAAAATGTAACTGTTCTTTTTAGAATTAAACATCTTTCCTTAGAATTCTGCCATCGTTCCTTGTA